CATAGCATATTCCATTTCGTTGTCGTCTCATTCCACTCAATTGCAGTAAATTGACGTACGTAAAATGCGGTTTTTTTTATGCCGTTTCTGAATCGAATGTTAAATTGAATGAAAACACCATTTGATCGATGATAACGTATTAAATCGACGATAATTTTCAAAGTTTTCCCTCTGTGCCCCCAACACAGACCAACTCATCCATTGACGTCGGTTAGTTTTCGATTAGAAACTTTCGACACAATCACATTCTCATCGATTGTGTTGTATTTTTCCCCAATCCTTCCCTCTCTCTCATACTCTCTCTAAGTTTTATGGTTTGGAAATCAAAAACTTCGAAAATTCATCGAAGTTTTGTCGTTGTCGTTGATTCCAACACCATTTCAAATGAGAGAAAATAAAACCCGCCCCAAACAAGTTGTGCTATTGTTATTTACGCATTTTGCACATTTTTCAACAAGCGGAAGTTTTATCGAAGCGCATTCCAACACAGAATTTAATATGCGCGATTTTCACTATGCACCATTTGACGTTCTATCGCCGAAAATTGCGAATGCAGTTGTCGATTCTGTTTATTAAGTGCATTTTCAATTCCTTTTTTCCCCCTTCCGTTCCAAACAAATGCAATAAATGTTCTGAGTATATGTATGAAAATAAATGGAGCCATTTGTTCGGTTCACATTGGATATAATAAGTACTGGCTGCTGCTGTTGTTGTTTGTGTTACTCGTCGTTGCCACCGCCGCCGCCGCCTTTGCTGCCGCCTATTCAGCTGTGTAGAGTGTTGTCATAAATTTATAGATTGCAGCTGAATGAAAAAAAAATAACACAAACTTTTCAAAAAGTTTCTTCCGACGTGTTTCTTCTTATCGGCAGTGCAGCGCAGCAGACAAGAAAGAAAATGCAAAAGCCAGGAAGAGAACGAAATGGCAAAACTTAAAAATCACTTTTCCCAATGAAAATGCACCCAACTTAATGGCAACTACGACGGAATAACGCATAAATTGAGCGTCCGTTTCGCTCGATGATAAAAGTGCTGCTTGATTGAGCCTCGCACAAATTCTCATTCGATCAATTTTCGAACACGAGAGAAAATAAAACAGCACTCTGCTGTCGATAAACAATATAAAATTAGATTAATGTGCAAGCTCTCCCTTTCTCTCTTTCTCTTGAAACGTGGCTACATATTTTCAGCAGCACAAACAATATCGAGCACCAAAACTTAATATGGCCAAAGTTTTGTGAAATGCATTCGGAAAATTGTGTGTCGGCGGAAAATTCTCTGACGCATCGATCACATGCCATTTTGTGTTTGCCACTCGGAAATGAATGCACAAAAATGGATAACAATCCTGAATAAAACCGTCGAAAATGGAAATGAGTCCATCAATTCATTTATTTCGATTTTGATTGATTGAGCAAAACGGACGACAGTGTCGGGAAAACTAGTTTTGTAGCAAACCACATTGCTAACCCATCCCTCTCCAGAGAAAATTGATGATGGCATTTCACATTTCTGGTAAAATGCATTTCAATTTTTGATCGCATTGAATTTCGAGCTGGCAAAACCGAAGCGAATACGTGATCATATCGACGATTGACAATCGCATTCAGCGAATTGTGAATTCCAATTATTTTGCAATTTTCGACAAAATGAAGCAGCTCACAGCTTTTCAAATGCGAACGACCATAACTTATGTGTCTATCTGTCTGCTACAGTGAATAAAGACATTTCGATAATAAAGTCTCACCAAAAAGCGCTACTAAAAATGTTCACATTGTTGTAAATCGATTCGCCGAGGAAAACGAATTTTCGGTGTTTCGTGTTTAGTGGGAAAACAATTAAAAAGTTCGTGTGTAAGCAGCAATTAAAAAATAGTGATTTGAAAAATATGGGAACTGTTGTCGGAACATGTATGCCGGAGACGGAACATCATCAAACCACCAACCATCTATCAACGTTAGCGCCAATCCGTCGAAGGCGTTATGGTAAATCAAATTAACACCTACTACCTTGCATTGCGATGTGTGTGTATGTGTGTGTGTGCACGGAGTGCTGCAATTAAAAAATTGCTACATTTTTGTTTCGCGACAGTAGTCGCTTACGCACGCGCATTCAAATAAGCATGATTAATTGCTGTTTGCATTTGGACACAGAGCGAAATTGAAGTGAAAAAACCAGTCTCGACTTCGCGATTCGATGAGCAAGCGTACACTCGTCGCACAATTAAGCTGGACATAAATATTACGGTCTGGTAAATTTGATCATCATAAATCAATATTTACGCTCTTGCTTTGGTTTTTTTTTCATTCGTTTGTTGTGGATTTTGTTTACGTTTTGCGGTATCTAATTGCAGGAGAACTTTTGTATGAATTCAAATGTGATCAAATCGATTGGATTCAATGCTATTCAGCAGTCAGCACTTTCCAACGATTCAAATGCGATTTGATAGCGTAGATTGAAGCATGTTGATTCAACGACACTATCGTATTTGTGTACAAAGTTAAGAGGCTTTGAATCAAATAATTTCGCGCAAAAAAAAAAACATTTCAATGATTGAATTATTAACTCTAATACCAAAACCGAAGAAAAAAACATTTCATTTGACGTAGACACAGCAGCAATTGAACTTTAAAAGCCCCATTATGAATGATGAAAAGCAAAATCATAGGCTTCAATTGCCGCTGTGGATATGATAAACGACTCTCCCTCCTCATTTGAATGCTTCGCTTGAAATCGAAAACCGAATTATTGGTTTTCGTTTCGGAATTCATTAACAATGCATGAAATGTTCGGAATATTCGAGAGTTCAAGGTTATTTTTTGGTTCACAATCGATTTTTTTTCCGTGTGTGTCGCTATCAAATTGAATTTCCATATTTCCATCCTGTTCTGTAATCGAGTACTGGATCATTTTCTTCGAACGCTGACCATTCTCACTGATCCAATTAAAAATGATTAAAGATTCCACTTTAATTGAATTTACTGGACGTGACTCACCATTGTTAGGTTTGGCCGTTTTTTTTTTCTCGCAGAATTCCCCACTGAAAATAAACCGAACCTCAAACGAATATTTTCCGCGAAGTAAACACTGTGAATAATTTGTGTGCCAATGTAATTTTCTGCCCCCATATAATTTGTACTCACTAATTGTCCAATACAAATAAATGCCAACAATAATATTGAGAGAAAGTATTTTCGTGCCAAATTCGGCCAATGGGCTTGGAAATGCCTCATTGTGTATTTTATTTGTTATAAACTACTGTTATGCATAATTTAGAATCACTTAGTCATCACATACACACGATTCGAAGAAGATGGAATAGCTTCATTCCAACGTGAATTGAAATTAATGACGTACAATCACGAATAGTAATGACGTCATTGCGTGCCGACTTAAATGTCATAGCATAATACACAATAAAAGAAATACCAGTCAATAAATAATTGATGAAACAGCAGCATGGTTGGGAAAAAGAGCTCATAAAATAAGTGGCGTCTGTCGTGTGTTTTAACTTAGATAAATTTTTCATATGGAATGAATGACATCAAAGATTCTTTCTTTAGATTCAATTCTCGTTTTTAATGTTTTTATCAAACGAATGCTTGCTTCAGCCAGTCAGTTGGGGATTGTATTGAAAAAATCCTATATTCATACTTTGAAATGCCATAAATGAGATTAAACGAGCGTGCGAACGAGCATGCGGGAGAGAGAGAGAGAATAGAAGCGAAAAAAATAACAGAAATCTGATGCTATGTTCAACAATGATCGATTGGCGGCATATGATAGAAGCACGTGATTGCTTTGATTGTGACATTATTAAATAATTGGTGCACAGGCACACACATGGTGAAATTGACCGAAAAGGTCAAGTAAAACTAACAACTGTGAAGCATTCATTGTGGACACACGTTTTGTGATGTGATTTAATGTGTGTGATTGTATCAATGGCACAAGTCCGAAATAAACAAATCGCATCCAGGGGATTTTGGCAAGACGAAATACTCAGAAATGTTTTTTTCTTGTCGTTAAGACAACGAGATTAAGGTATAAACATATGTTCAAGATATCTTGAATTCGATCTTCTAAACGACATTTTAACTGTATTTATCATTTCTTCGGAAATCACAGCGAAGAGCAATTTCCAAATTGTTTTCGTGGGAAGTTCCAAGAAAAACTGATTCAAATTACATTTTTCTTCGAGTGATTTGTATTTTCTCACTTCGGTAATAAATTGGCCCCTAATGTTGAACACTTTTCATATCTATTTCTAGCGATTGAAATTCTTCTACACACCCAATTATCGGAATTCAAAGATGAAATCGATAGGCGACAGTCTCAGTTTTCACATTGGAATCGAATAAAAGTTTTCAACACTTTTATCGCTTCTGGGTTCCGTACACGCTCCATATGATGCGTGATGATGAAACCGAAAACTCTGGATTTTATTATCGAATTTGTTCTATATTCTACACGTTTCATGCATAAATCAAGTGTCTGTTTTTGTATTGGATATGCGTGTGTTTGGAATTGAAACGCACTTCGTTGTCCTTTTTACCATCGAGCGAAATTTCGTTCGTTTGTACCATGAATGGGACTTACATATGTGTGTGTAAATTTTTACATGTCGTGTGATGGCATCCGTCACAAGATGAATGACTTGTTCGGTTTGCAAACTTTCTTTTTGAATCATATTTATTGATATTTATTCAACGATGGCATATACGCGATTGCGAGTATGCCATTTCCATTGTAGGCGCGGTGGGAAAATGTTGTACCAAACTCGAAAGGTTAATATTGAAAATACCCTGAAACTCTCATTTTGGTTACGAACGTACGGTTGCTATGCCATAAATGGATCCGGTCGAGCTCGGCTCTTGTTCCAACGAAAAAACAGACAATTATTTTTTTTCACTCTCTCTCTCTGTCGTGTTTTTTCCAATTAAAATTTATAACTTCAATCCAATTTAATGGTTTGTTTTTCCTTTTTTTCCTTTTTGCAGGTATTAAATGCCCAGTTTGCAGTAAATTTGTGCTACCCGACGATATAGAATGTCATTTAGTAATGTGCCTAACAAAACCTCGTTTATCGTACAACGGTAAGTGAAAATGTTGCTTCAAAAATAGAATCGGAATTGAAAATTGTCCTTTTTCGAATGAAACTCGATAAGTAATTTTGCGAAATGTAAATTTAATTCTGGTCAATTTAATCTACAGAGGACGTTTTAACAGATGCCAAGGGAGAATGTGTAATATGTTTAGAAGATTTAAATGCCGGTGATGTGATTGCAAGGTTGCCATGTTTATGTATTTATCACAAAGGGTAAGTGTAATGTGATGATGACGGTTGTGGCGGTGGTGGTGATGCTAGTTGGCCAACATGCAATTGATTTATATGCAATTTTATGTGCTGTATGTGTGTGCTGGTGAAACGATGACCCCATTCTATCATGACACATTCTCATTCTCTCTCTCTCTCTCTCTCTCTCTCTCTCTCTCTATTTCTCCGCTGAATTATGGCCCCATGAGAAATGCATGCATAATTCAATTGTTATTAGTACCTCGGTTTCACTTCGTTGCAAATGCTTCGACACCTGTGATTGATTATTATTCATCTCTTGCCCTTACTCTCGATTTAGCACCACCCAAAAACCACTTTTCAATTTAACAAAACATACATTACTTTGTGTGCGCATTCGGTTCGCTCTCAGATACATTCCTGATTTAATTAACGTACGTTTGCATATGCATCGGCAGTAAATTGTAAATTGCTGCAAGTCACATTAGGTGCAAAAGTAATTTTAATGTGACAGATGTTATTCGATTTGCCAGCAACGCAAATTTGTTTGGCATTGTTTGCAACAAAGTTTCATGCAAATTCATTGTGAGTGTGTAAATACTTCGTACCGTGGGAAGTGAATTGAATACAGAAATGTCCTTTCGAATAATGAATAAACATTTAATTAAATTTCATGTTGTTTTCATTTTTCATTGGGCTTCATTGAATACTTCCCCAGCACAAACCAGCATAATGAATTCATAATTTTGTTATAAAAAAAATTAATACATTGTTTTTTTTTCTCGTTCTCTTTGACATGTTGCAGATGCATAGACCAGTGGTTCGAAGTGAATCGCAGCTGTCCTGAACATCCTGGCGATTAGTTACTTTAAACAATCGAACAAATTCATTCCATAGCGCTTTATTTAGTCTACCAATTGTGCGGAATGGATGCGGTAAGCGGGGAATGAAAACCTAAGTGACGAGAAATTCTAGACATTTCAACGGGAATGGAACAAAAATGAAGAGTATCGACGATTTGATATTTGACAAACACATCTGCAACCTGGTTTGGATGACGGAAATGACGAATTGATTTTTTGTTGGAATGAAAACAACAAAGAGATGAAGAAGAAACAAAAGAAAACTCACTAACTCTTAACGAAATGCAAATGAAAAACATAACAAAAGAAGAAGAAGAAGAATAAGAAAGAAAGAAAGAAAGAAAATTCGATATAAATACAGTGATACATATTTCTATCAAGATAACGGCTTTGGTTTAAACACAAGTAGTAATTAAATGTAAGAAAACTAAGAATTAGCCAATTACATGAAATGTAATGAGTGTAACGCTTAAGTCAAACTGTGGGTGAGATTGTAGAGAGCGAATAGTGTGTGCGTATGTGCATGAGTGTATGTGTGTCCTGTGTGCCTGTGAAATGTGTGTTTTAAATGTGCAGAAAGAGAAATAGTAAACGGATAGCGCGATATAAAGAAAAAGGATTATAATAACCCAGACCGAATAGAAACGGAAATTTTGTTTACCACACAGCATACAGAGTCAATCTGTTGGAATCAACGAAATGATGTGTCGATTTGAATTGTTGAATGTAAAATTGTTTGCAAATCACTATTGAAGAGAATTTTTCATTGGTGGTGAAACAGAAAACGACGTCTATTATTGGATTGGTTTGTTTTTTTTCTGTCGTTGGTTTTTGTTTGTTTTACACAAAAGCCTTGCAACCGGTAACATTGTACAAACAAAAAGAAATAGCAATGTAGACATTAAATCACTTTCGATGTCAACCTAAACAGATTCTCTACTTTTGCCATACATCAACCGCCTCCCCATCCCAATGTGTAATTGTAAAATTCATTGAAATCGAATGTAAAATGTGCTTTTGACTAGATACAGCTTTCAACATTTTTTTTAAATCTCTCCGATTTTTACTACTTTTCGTTCTTGTTGCCCCATTTCAGGTGGCGACAATTTGATTCTTAACAATGTTCATGAAAACACTGAATTTTCGTCTCATAACCCATTCAAGTTTTTAGTCAGGATTCATATGTTGTGTCTATTTTCTTCGTGTAAATGAATGATTCACCACAAATTCATTTATCAGAGCTATACAATTTAGTAACCATTTGAATGGATGTGCCCATAAAAACAACTGATCTGCGCTTTTATATACAACAACAGAAAAACACACAAAATATTATTATTATGCATATGAAAACGATAAATATTTTAACCAAATCTAATTGTATAAACTAAACACTAAACTTTTTTTTGTTTCTGTTTTTTTTTTAAGAAAAAAATAATCCGCACGAATAAGAACAAGAAAAAAAATGGAGAAAAAAAAGAATTTTTGTATTTGTAAGGGATTTTTGTTTCTCGTTCGATTTTAAGTATATAAAATTAGAAACAAATTTCAACAACATAATTAGGGAAAAAAATAATTGTTCGATTAAGGGAATGAGACGATAATACCCCGATGAATTTAACTAGCAATCATCATGTGCGGCGAGCGAATCAAGTTCAATTTTTTTTAAATGATATTAGTTGGCGGATTTTTTTCTGCTCGAATGCAAATTCATTCACGCCGCAAAAAAAAAACTTTTGTAAATTTGAACTTTTTTCGCTCGCCAAACGATTAAGCGATTCTCTTGTAATAAAAATTCAAATAAAAAAAAACACGTGATAAATAATTTAGTCGTTTATTTTGCGAGTATTTGTGGTTGATTAGTTTTTTTTAACATGAAACTTTTTTAGAGCATGCAAAATAGAGAAAGAGTGAATAAACATCTACAGCAACGATAAAACAACGGACCCAATTCCGAGTCCGACATTTTTTTTCGTTTTCTTTTTTATACTGATTTTAAAAATAGAGCAAACTATGAATTTCCCTCGCTAAATAAAAAAAATCACATTAGATATGTTTAGTGTGGAATGATGATATTTTTTATTTTACTGGGAATCGGCTCAGAATATTAACAATTTTTTAATCAATCGATGACGACGACGATTCCCACAAAAAAACCAAGCGCATCTCATCATCATTGACGACTGCAATAGCTGATGATTTCTTGAATATATTACAGTATATATATTGTCTTAAACGTAATTTTTAAATAAGAAGCATTACGAATAAATTACAACAATTCTACTGAATGAAAAAAAGAGAAAATGCCCCGACAAAATATAAAAATATAACTACAAGAAGCCCAAATATTTATGGTCTTTGTATAAAACATTATTATCGATATTGAAACAGAATAAATACCAGCAAATTGTGAATGTTGAATAAACAACAGGCAACAACAACAACAACAAAAAACCATTCAACAATTCAGTGCAATTATTTTTAGATTAACAACTGGAAATAAACAGAAAAACAAAATCATACATGATTTGTGTCAAACGTTTCATTTTTTATTTTGTCACATTCAACGTTTTGACTTATTTGAGTTTGAACTCAAAATTGTTGTGTCCCATTCAAATGAATTAAATCCAGAGATACGGATTTTACTTTTCAGTTACCTGAAGATTTGTTTAACAAATTTCATATCAAATTCGATTGAGAAATTATTTTCTCCTAACAAATAACATTTGTTTTCAAATGACGAGTTTGAATTGGCCAGAAAATGAATAAATCTAAATAAAATGAGTAGAAATTCGTTGAAGAAATTTTTTTTTTAGTCAAATTTAACGTTTCCAATTGGTGCTTTATGTCATTGATTTTACCTAGGCAAATTTTTTCGATTTAGTTTAGTGTCTCAAGTCGATGTAAATCAATTGATAAAATATCTAAAGTAAAATTATTGTGGCTAAATTAATAAACGAAATACAGACGGCTCTGAACTGAATGGTTCTCACTTCAAATTCATCTTTTACCCCTAAAAGAAAACGCTTTTCACCATTAAGCTGATTGACACGATCTTTCGAATACAATAAACCAAACAGAAATTTCAGTTGCATCGACATGTGTTGACTGTTTTTTTCCCCCTAAATGAATGAAGATCAATTGCAGTGTTTAATTGAATTGTATCGTTCTTTTGTATTTGGATATAATCGATGTCTGTCGTGAATAATTCGCCAAGAAAAGAAAAACAACCATTCATACAATAGAATTAATGTGTTATGATTTCTTAAAAATAAACATAAACAATTTACAAAAATGGAACAAAACCAAACAAAAAATAAAATGAGAAACAAAAAAACGAATAAAATTGAATGAAAAACATTGAAAATACTGAGTGTTTTAATTGAAATTTTTAGTTTGTTTTTCTTTCCCCTTAAATTTGAAGAACAGAAACAAAATGAATCAAATAAAATTCTGAATAATTATTTTTAGACCGAAAAAAGGAACAAAGAAGGACAAAAATAATAAGAGATGAATGCTAGTCCATTTTCACCCGGCATTCAAATTCGCCGCCCGGCTAAGCGCCGAAAACAGCGACATCGGCTAATGTGCTGAATCTGCAAAAAAAAAGTTTGCTTGTTTGCAGGACCTGCTACTGTCACTTTGCTCACTTCATGTCAAAAAAAAAAAACGGAACGAAAACATTGCGTCCCGAATTCAGCATTTCCTACATCTATCTATGTGTTACTAGTGGCACAGGCTGACAAATGGCGCACACACATGCGCTGTTTATCTCAATCAACGAGCACAAAATCCCAACAACAATACCAAACGAATGTTCGTCGCATGAGGATGTGCACACAACAACAACTATACATGTAGCGAGCATCGATACACTGTTTCCAGTTGGCCCGTATATGGTGCTGTACAGCACCCTCTGAATAGCAAACGCGTTCACCATCACACAAACACGCACACATCGACACGCGCATCCCATCGCTGTGCATGCAATTCACACATACAAACGAGGAATTTATCCCTTTTTCATGAATGATTCGGTTCTTCCATCATTCGCATTTGTGGGAACAGTGTGTACGGATGTGAATAGCGCACCGAATACGGTCACACCCTTACTGTGTAGCAAAAATTGGAATATTTTTTTTCTTCTTCTTTTATTACATCTCTTAGTTCTTTATCAACAGAAATTCATGCAAGAGTGATAGAACGGAAAGAAAAGAATCGACGGCGACATTTATGTGTTGAAAGTGTGTTATCAATTATCGACAAATTTTGTGTTATTCATTTGTGGTAATCAAGTAAATGGTGCATTTTTCGTTGTAAAACCAAATGTAGCAGCGTATTCGGGATGTGTGTGTGTGTATGAGAAATCAAGTGCGAATGAAATAATGTTGACGTGAAATATTTTTCGGCTGTGCCATTCGCGTACTCCATTGTGGTTAAAACGGGAACACGTAAGAAACAAAGCCAAAAGATACTAGAGTTCGATGTCCGGTTTTTACTATGCGCTGTGCGTACTGAAAACGAACGAGACAAGTGCAGATAGTGTTCAGCCATTTGAATAAATAAAAAAAAGAAAGAGAAAAAAAAATACACAGAAAATATTGAATTGCGTATCATTGCACGTAGTGATTTATTTTATTTGTTTTGCTCGTAGTGATATTAATAAGCAAAGAAAGAAAGAAAAAAGGAAAACTTTAGGTGAAGTGACAAGGAGCTAGTTAGATTTGTGTAATCGAAACGTAGATTTATTGAAATTGTTTCGATGGCGATGAACGGTGTCGTTGACGATCAATACAAAGTGCCGTTGATTGCCAAGCTATTGCACCAACTGCCCCATTACAATATCACATTTCATCGAACGAACAACACTTTTCGGCCAACCGATGAAGTTTATCTCGAGGTAAGTGCCATATTTGCTCTGTTTCCATTTTCTGGACTCATTTGCGCTGCCATGAACAGCATGATTTATGCAAACATTTACGAAAACACACACACACACACACACACACACACACAAAAGAAACCGTCGAAACGTAGTAGCATACTAGTTCGAATGAGATAAGATGGGAAGTGAATGAGAGCGAAAGAGAGCGGAGAAAACAAACAGCGAAATAAAAGAGCGATTAATATATTCGTTTTTGGATGCGGTGAACTCTCGTCGAGGCTACATTTTGTCTATGTGCATTTTTTTCGCCATTGAATAGATTTAGGCGAGTTGAATAGAAGTCGACGAACATAAATAGGACGTCAAGTACTTTATTTTTCCATTGCAAATAGCGAATAGACAATATGAATGAATATGAAATTGTCTATGGAATGCATTTCTTTTGATAGTGTGTTTTTTCCGTTTTCTCTTCGCTTTTTTTCTGCGTAACTCTCTTTTGCCGTTCGTGTTGCTAACATAACATTGAATGCAATGGAATTGACCGTTTAATGCACAATACGCTTCTAATTTTTTGTCTCTCTCTTCTTTTCTATTTACAGAGTTTGGGAATCCTTGGTTCTGCACCGGCTGCACTGCTGATCCTTTCATTGTTCGGGCTGTTATTGTACTTATTGACGCGATGTTGTGATCGAAAACCACGAACACAACACTCCATAACGAGTCTGAAAGTGACATTGTCGGTGGTGACGGTACTTTGTTGTGCAGCCATTGGCCTAGGCAAGTGTGGTTTTTATTCTCTATTTATTTTTCAGTTTTTTTTTTTGTTGTCATTTTATTTTTTTAACACCTCTAGTTTTTTCCTTGCTTTCACATCAAATTTGTGTTATCCTCATTTATACATTGTCGTTTCGTTTGTTCGTCCATTCGTTCGACCTGTTCGTGTTTCGTTGGCAAATTTCCATTTTCACAAAATGACAATAAAATATTAACTAATCGCCAAAGTTGTGTAAACACGAGCCGAACTTTGGATTTTCTGCTAATTCATGGAAAATTTAAACAAAAATGGAAACAGAGAGCGAGCAGGAGCGAAACAAAAAGGCTTTTACGGCTTTCCATGAAAATGCATGGTGTGATGAAAAATAATGGTAGATAGTGTTCGTTTGAGGCATAAATAAGGTCTAACCATATTGTTGGTGTGGCCAATCCTCTATTGATTTACATTTTAATGTATTCAGTCATCATAATGGCTCTGACACTAAAGTCTAAATACCGATATATATATATATATAAATATATATATTTCGTCGCTTGTCTCTATACAATAATAAATAACAACGCACTGCACAAATACGAAAAACGACGAGCGATAAATCGGTATTCTTGTTTTTTTTTCGGTTCAGGGTTGAAAATAATAAAACACACCTTCATTGTTTCCTTCACGATATGAATATGCTCTCGCCGAAACCGAGTTTGTGCCAACGAAATTCAAAACCAATGCGATGGATATCCATTTCCATTGTGGATTATCATTGTATTATGGCCCAAAACATACATACGTGCCGCAAAATTCACATATTCATGCATGAGATTTGTGTAGTTGAATAAGCAAGAATAATATAAAATCAACATCGTGCGCGCTCTGACTCAAATATATATGAAAAGCGTATACGTATGACAAAACGAGACGAGACAAAACTTCAACTCAGCTCAACTCAACTCAACTCGACACTCTGACTTTCCATCCGTGCATCCATCCCATTCATTTAACGGGAAAATGGTTTTGATCACTCGCTTTTAACATTTATTACATTACACATTTGAGAGTGCTTTATATGGCCACAAATAGCGTATAGTACAAAGCAGTTAGCTAGCACAACTCAATTTAATCAAGTGCAATCCTATGCATTTTTAATGAAAACTTCTTTATTTTTTCATACATTCATGCACACAATACACAAAACCACCACCGAATTACTCGAAAAACTGTTCATGCACACACACAAACTATGGCTGATGCATTTATCGCACCGCACCATTTGTACCGTTCGTTCAACAGGACTCTATGGCAATGATGATTTGCATAATGGTCTGTTGGAAGTTTTACAATCGGGTCGAAAGGTGGATAACATAATTTCGTCGGTGCGAAACCAAACCCAAACATTGGAAAGTACATTGGCAAACAAAATTCGACCGCAGCTGGTTGAGCTGGCCGACATTTTTGACCAGCCAGCATCAAATCAAACGGCACTCTCACAGCTCATTCTCTCATTGAATATCGTACAAGGAAATGTTACAACGGCAAAAAATGCGGCCGCTGACATACGCAGACCTCTAATGCAAGTTACAATCACATCCTTTTTATCGGTAAGTCATAAAAAAAAGTCATAATTTTTTTTCTCTCGATTCGGAATATCGATTTTCAAGAGTTTCACTTTATTTATTGCTCACATAAACATTCACACAGAGAGGAGATCAATATGAACTGATTCGTTGGCCTGGCACAGTTGCTGTGCTAGCTTTGCTACTGGTTTTATGCGCTGTTCTACTTGTAGGTGTTGCACGACACTCTCGATGGTAAGTAATTTGAAAAATTTATCCCAAAAAAGAAGTTGAATTGGTTGTAATCATTTGACTTGAATTTTCTTTTCCTTTTTTTTCAGTGCTTTGATTTTGTTTAGTGTTTGTGGTTTACTGGCCGTAACTGGATCTTGGTTGATGTCGGGTTTATATCTGTCGAGTTCGGTGGCTGTTGGCGATCTGTGTATGGATCCAGCCGGTTATCTTGTGTCACAAGCACCCAACGATTTACCAACCGAAGTTCTACTTTATTATACGCAATGCGAAAGTGTTCGCTCCAATCCATTTACGCTTCGATTGCGTGAATCACAAAATGCCATCAATAATGCACGTTCGGCTATGAATATTGTCTCTAGGCATGTTTTTTTCTTTCAATACTTTTTCATCCATTTTCCCTAAAAACCATTCTCTAACTGATTTCGTTTTGGTATGATTGTAGAATTTCATTGGTGCTATACAAATCGGCCGGATTGCAACCGTAAATATTTTATACTTGTTTTTTTTTTTCAATTGTTGCTATCAATTTATGGTTTTTACTCATGCCCAATTTGATATTTGTAAAAAAAAAAACATAGGAAACTTGGAGCTGTTACGGCTGATTTGAATAACAGTGAACGACTTTTGACGACATTGACAGCGCTGGTCGATTGCAGAGACCTTCATCGCAGCTATTTGGCTGCAACGCGAGGCCTGTGCGAGAGTGGGCTGCTTGGTTTGCTATTGATGCTGATTGCAAGTTTTACTGCCGCCATTTTGCTCACAATTATGGTTTGGGTCGATTCGCATACATGGATTTATATAAGAAAGCGTATTGATTACTCACAAGTTGACGAGGCGTCTTATGCCTCGAACCATGGTCAACAACCTGGTGCCCCGATCCACCCACAACAACAACCGAATCACAACAACAGCCACGTCGCCGCACGTACCCTTCCACGAAATATGCACAATGGGTGAGGAATGAAAATAAAACATCAAATGAGAGGTGCATTGATTCGAAGAGAAATTTAATTGGCTTTATTTATTGTGATTTATTTAGACCTCCGGTTATAAGTGGTTCGCACACATTGCAGCATCCCGGTCGTAATAAACAAGAGATGATTATGGCCGCGCAATATCAACAACAACAACAACAACAGCAGCAGCAACAGCATAATCCAAATATACGTCAACTCGGTTCGCATACCATGACAATGGGTCGCATGCCGCCGTCTCATATGAGCCCACAACATCACGGCGCCAACAAACACGGTGAGTCGTTTGTATTATGTCGAACACATTTTCTTTCCACACTCATGTATTGGCTTGGATTTTTCTTTTCATTCTTTTGTTCGAAAAAAGTACTTACACATCATACATACATACACACCTATATATATTTATATACGTAGCGCCTTTTGCGACTGATTTATTAATGATACAATTTTTCTTGCCTTTTTTCTTTTCTTTGTTCTTGTTTCCATAATTTTTCTTTTTGTCTTTGTTTCTTCTTTGTTTCGGTTGTATTTTGTTTGATTTTCACTCGTAATTCGTTTTGTGCGTATGTAACGTAATTTTGTTGTGGTGGATTAAAGGACCAACTAATGGTAAATACGCCACATTAAGCAAGCAATGTAAAACCTTAGAAGCTAATGATTATTACTGAAAATCAACAGTGTGTACAGATGCAAGACAATATGCGATGCAACAACAACAGCAACAACAAGGAAATGCCCAACAGCCCGCATACCATCACCAACAAATGTCACAATATGGCCAAACACAGCCAACATACCAAACTCAGCCTCAATATGTTATATCTCAAGGTCAACCGCCACAAATGCAAGATCGCCCTCGTCAAAATGCTCCAAATGATCCAATGGCGCATAATATTTATAATCAACAAATGATGGCCGCTCTACCACAAAACGTTCTCTATCATCAGCAACAAATTCAAAATCATTATTCATTGCAACCACAACCACAGCCAATGCATCACCGATCGCCACAAACCAATCAACAGGGAATGCCACCACCCGGCCAAATGCATCCACAACAGCAAAATATCTACTCGCACAATAATGCGGCTGTCATCATGTCTGGAGCGGCCACTTTGCGTCGTCCGCCACAAAATCAGGCTCGTGAGGCAATGGAACAGAATCCAAATACCAATTTACCCGATAATATCATGATGGATCGTGACAAACAGCAGATGTTCAAGTATTCAACATTGCGTCAAGGTGGCAAGTTTGATCCGAGAAACTTTGGACCACGTCCCAGCATTCCGAACGGTGCACAAAATCCAGCAGCACAAAAGCCGTCGATTTTAAATTGTCCATTGCCTGAAATACCCAAAGAACATGCAGCCAGCAATGGTAATGATCCAAATAAAATCACATCACCACGCAATTTGAACACCAACGGTGGAGCTCCGCCACTTAATCAGCCTACAATGACACGGTAAGTGCCGATTTCATTTTAATCTTTCCATTTTTATGCAACGGCTCTGAATTCACATAGAATCTTTTCCATCCCAAAAACAACAAACAATGTATAGCACACTGCAAAGACCATTCAAAAATCTTCCACCAACTGGTAAAGCGATTCCTCCACCAAAAATTGCCGATTCATTGTATCAATCGAAGGCGGCTCTAACCAAGCCACCAATCGCCCCATCGACCGCACATCCAACGAATGGCACCACCACCACCACAACAACGCTATCAAATTCACATCAACCAGCAGTCCAACCACCTTCGTCACCCCCTTTACCTCCGCCACCTGAGCCAACACAAAACCTAGATTATGCTGTGACTGAATTGTAAATCCAATCTCGAGACATTTATTTCTCATTGCGTGCGTGCGTGCGTGCGTTCCATCCAAATCACGCACCACGAACGAAGAGATCTGAATTGAATTCAGCAATTTAAAATCGTAAATATTTATCGTTCAATGATGCCAATTCCTCACATTTCGAGCGCAACATTATTATAAACATGAAGTTGATCAATTACATTTGAAATGCAATCGTGTAAATATTGCCCAAACCAAAAACAGAAATCAATGATCTTTTTTACTATCGTCCTTATAATTTCCCAAAAAAAATACATTGTCTCAATTGTTGAACGCTTGAATATTGATTTGAGTTTAAATTTAGCATAGAAAATTATCATTTAGGTCAATATAATGTAATCAATAAAAAAAACCAAATAATAATATGAACGGTTATTGTGCAACATAGGAAGCTCCACTACGTTTCTCACAAGCGCACCGGAGGATGAGTATCATGCGTGAGCATCATGCGTGGCACACGCACACACACACACAAACACACAGATAACATTATTTATAGAATTTTGATTGATAGCAATCTCTCGTCGGAACTATTAATAATGATAACAGTAACGGTAACAACAACAACCACAAGCATATTTATATAACTCATTAACTTAACTTGTAGCATACATTTTTGGAACGAATGCCGATGTATCGGCCTAAAAAAACATGATCGATTGAAGGAAATTAGATATTTAACGCAAAAAAACTCCAATAAACTGATAGCGGGTGAGCGAATGATATGGTTGTTTATGTTGGTTGGAGAGTGAGAGAGAGAGAGAGAGAGTGCGAGGTGCCAAAGAGGATTTTATGAAATCGAAACGAATTATAATGATGAGTGAATCGAATGTGGAGTAGAGTTTTTAGACACACATTTTTACCTTCTTTTAGACCCTCGTTTACACAATAAACCCCTCTATTTTCCAAAACGGAACACAAGAGCAAATCACACTGACGAAATTTTTTTCACGGCGTTTTCAATAAACCACAAAAAAGAACAAAACAAGGGAACAATCACACATCTGTAGCTCACATCCCACATTTCACACACCAACAATTCAATTTAATGCTATTTTAGAGCGTTTCAAATCACAACACAATTTTTCGACACAAGCATCGTTTTTCCCGTAGATTTTCCGTCATTTCGATTTAATTGAATGAATTTAGCGTAATATTTGAACAAAAAAAAACATAAGAACAAGAAATGAAGTGAATAATGTATAACCAATAATTTAAAAAAGAATGATATGAAAAAAATGAACGTATTAATCACAAAGCTAAGTCATAGTCATTTACATAGAATGAGGTAGAGAAAAAATGCCATCAAACACACCGAGTATGTTCCTACTGAGAATTTAAAAAAAACATGCTGAATCCATATATGCAAAATGCATCTCACACTGTATATAACATAGGTATGATCGCATATTTGTTGCAATCGAAAACTTGCTTTAGACACACATTGATTATTCGGTCACACATTGATTTATAAATACACTTACTATCGAATTTTCTATTATTAGTCCGTACCATATCTGAAATTCAGTCGTGCAAGCAAAAAAAAATACAGTTCCATTTGTCATTGAAGTAACATCTTTTAGATTTGTTTTATTTTTTTATGGTTTTTATTTTCTGTTAAAAATAGTTCTGTTTTTTTTCTCCTGGAACTATTGCAAATTTTTTATCATTGAGAAGATGAAAATACGCTTTTCATCATTGAAATATGTCGTTTTATAAGAAGTTCTTAAAAATATCTCCGAAAATTGGAGAAAAATACAACTTTTTTGGAATCCCATTTGGCTTTGATGATGATGCAATGAAAATGCACCAAACATTTTTAAAAATTTACACACAAAAACGAACAATTTTTTTTAATAAATTCTGAACATGCAATCGAACCAAAACTGTTTTAACAATAGATTAACCAGGAAAGAACTATCAAACAATATAAATGGCATCTCAGGTTTTGTGAATTAAAACACCAAACACTGCCATACAGCACAATAGACACAATGTCTTTTTATAAGAAACTGTTTTGGAACAAATATTTTGAAATTCATGGAATTTTTTTTTTGATTTTGTTTTTTGAAGAATGACTCATTGTAATTATCAGCGTACAAAGAATTTTTAGTGGTTAAAAAAAAATTGGCATTATAATATCAATTTTGAATATAAGATTCAATCGACAATGAAAATCAGTTCCAAGTTGCATTTGTTTCATACATAATGAACATTTAGTTAAAATAAATGGAAGGAAAATATTTCAACGAGAGAGAAAGAGAGAGAGAGAAAGCAGGATTTTTTTTGTTTGTTGTCGGAAAACGATTCCATGAATGTATTGATAATAATGTCATTCTATTTTTATTGTCTCTGAATATTAATGTCATTTGTATCGATTTAAGAAATTTTTCAAATTAATTCAAGTAAATAAAATCGAACAGAAGTTGCGATACGAAAAATTATTATGTACTCAGAAAAATGAAACAGAAATTAGGAAAAAAAATAGAAGCTCAGCTCAACTTCAAGTGTGATGTATATTTTTGACCACGAAAGAACATCGAATCGTTTACATTCTTTGGTAAGAATCAATTCGACTCAAGGCGGTTAATATACAATTGATCACACAACAAACAGTTTTTTCTTTTGCCGAGCGATGGTAGTGAAGAAAAATCAGCAAACCAAAAACGTATTTATAATTATTATGGGTTAGAATGGTTGCCATTCAAATTTAAAACAAAAAAGACATGAACTTACTAGTAAACGAATAAAAAAAATGTACTAAAACAGAATTAAAATGGGAATTCGTGTTAAATTTCGTGTTTTATTTTTTTTTCATTTTTAGGAACAAATTAAAATTCACACTGTGGATTAACACAGCCATCATGGACCAGCCTGAATATGCTGAAGCTAATACAAAAATCAAAAACAATTCCATTTTATTTTTATTCATTCAAATATATTTTAATCAGAGCTAGCGTCAAACGTTCAACATCTCTTATGTCCACCCAAGATGTAATATATGTAAGAAAAATTACATCGAACCATTTACAATTTGGTTTCCGGAAGACATTTGGAACCGTGTTCTAAACGGAATTAAACGTTTTAAATTTTTATTTTTACTTCAACACGACGTTGCTGAGCTACATTCAATAACGATGCAAGTTATACGAATATATAGCGATATCTCTTGTTTCTAAATTGAGAACCGTCAACTATTCATCATATTGCAGGGCTCACTTGACTTTTGTTATAGATATTTTCGTCGCAACACAGATCATTTATTTCAAAGCTGAGAAACAGAGCTTGAATGTAGCTCAGCAACGTCGTGTTGAAGTAAAAATAAAAATTTAAAACGTTTAATTCCGTTTAGGAAACGGTTCCAAATGTCTTCCCGAAAGCAAATTGTAAATGGTTCGATGTAAATTTTTTTACATCAATTACGGCTTGAGTGAACATTAGAGATGTTGAACGATTGACGCTAGCTCTGATTAAAATATATTTGAATGAATGAAAATAAAATGGAATTGTTTTTGATTTTTGATCAAATATCACAAATCGTTCAGGCGGGATTGAAAGCAATTGCAATTACCTTCAAATTGAGCCATTTATCATTCCAATAGCTCCAACCAATTCCGAGAACGGCACAAAAACCTGTTAACAATAACCACTCAGCCCAAGTTCAGAGTTTTTGTACTAACATAATTCGTCAAAATTCAATTTTAGTAGCCAAAAGACGTTCCTTGATATGTACTAAATAAAACTGGACTGGTTCACACAGAATTTCAGAACATTTTATCTGCGTAAATCGATCAATGCCTACAAGTGCATCTGTCGATAGAAGCTGTAAGATATCAAATTGAATTAAATTGTCTAGAATTGAAAATGTCTGATTGGTATGTCATCTGAAATATTGAGGCTTGTGATTATCCCGATGTGGTCTTGATAATAAACCAATTGTTCCCATTTCAACTACAGATTGATTTATGAAAAAAGAAGCTCAACTAAAGTTCAAGTGTGATTTATACTTGGCCATGAAAGTGTATCGAATCATCGAATCAATTCGACCCTAGATATTAATAAACAGACAATAACCATAAAATAGTTTCTCTTTTGAGCCACGACTAGTTGATGAATAAGCTATTGAAAATGGTTGCGGAAAAATAAAAGTACAAAAAAAAACATCCATAGAAAAATTGTACGAAAACTAAATTCGTATTGAGTTTCTAGTTTTATTATATTTTCCATTTTTAAGGAAATTTCAAAAAAGTAATCACGGATTACGGATTAATTTTAGATGGTTTCATTTTTCAGAAGTTTGGTATTAAATGAATAAATACGCTTTTCTTAAACATAAAAATCTTCTTTGCATAGTCTTTTCGCTACGCAAAATAATCTCAATGAAATGTAATGATTGGTGTTGTGGCTGTGAATATCGATCAATGCATCTGAATATCAGCTGGAATCCCTTTCGTCTTACGCTTTCTTCGCACTGAATAAACAAAGCAATGTAATAAAAACGAATTAAATTTCAATCGAATAATTGAGTTAAATGAATTCAACTCACCGTGGCAAGTAAGCTCGTTTGAGTTGAGCCAATGAAACCGAACCATTGCATAAGGGGCACAAATTTTGACATTGGACTGACCGTTGGATACATTTCGAACAAAACATATGGCCGCACGGGGTGAAAGATAATTCCTGTTCACCAAAACTATCCAAACAAATTGTGCATTCCAATTTTAGGAGCTTCCCTCCATTCGGTTTCGATATTGCTTTACGTTTTCTGTCCATTGTATAAATACTTTTGGGTGTTTCAGCGCTGATTTCCACCTCGATAACAATTGAATTATTTCTGACGAAACCATTCTCAGGTGTTAGCAAATCGTTCCATGATGCAAGTAAAACGGTGAATCTGTCGAGGTACCGCATCTCTTTCGATTGAATCTCTTCAATTGGCTTTCCAATGTTCATCAATTTGGCCAAAATGTTCACTTTACATGGGAATTCTCTTGAATTCTTTTTTGCCATACACTCCTCCAAAATGAGTGCGAGTCCATTCGTCGGATACTTGTTGATTATGACGTGCCAAAGTGTGTTGCGCAACATGAATTCCGGCGTACGAACGGCCATCAGATGTTCGATATTGGTAACTGTCAAACGGAATTTCGTACGGTAACCTTCTTCGCAACTTTTGCCTATTTCCTCGAAAATCAACTCACTCTTGTTCGGGTTATTTCGACCAGCCATCGTGATTTTAACCTCCAAAAATATCGTATCATTGATCATGTAACCGCTGTTGATATTTAACAAATCGTTCCATCGAAGCATTCGTATGCCATGATCCATTCGTCTACAATCAAAAACGTACGGCACCAAAGGTATTTCAATCGGATTCACATTGTCTATGAATGACACCAGTTTAAATGTTGGTGAAGCAACAATTGACCATTTCGATGATGTGTCTCTCTTTGCACAACGCAAATAAACTCCAAGCCATTTTTCTCCCTTTACCTCTTCCTTGCGAACGTACACCGTCCATGGGATGTCATGAACATACAACTCACGCGAACAAATTGCTTTCAACGCACTGACATTCGGTATATCCAACAGAAAATGGTTTTGATGCACTCTCATCGCGCTGGTATTCTACTTGCCTTGATGATTTGTAAATGAAAAAGCAAATAATCGAACACAGTTTTTTTATATGAACTTTTTTTTTTGAATATTTAATTGTGGAAAATAAATAATATCTTACTTTTTTCCGCTGAATTTAATCCGATTGGATGATGTGTTGGACTCAATGCGCAACTCAATGCGACTCTTTCAGTGCGAATAAGAACGATGAGTGTGTGCAAACAAGTGGTAAATCTCCGATGCAAACTGTCAACGATTTGACAGGTCAATGTTTTGATAGCCCATTGAACATTTGAACCGGCGAGTGTTTCAAACTAACGCCGCAGCGATTTTGTTTCTCTTTTGAAATGAACATTTTTATGTTGGATTATGCTGTGTAGATCTAAGCCGAATTATTCAATATGAAAATAAAACACGGGAATCGTGTTATCATTCAAAAAGGAAATATGACGATTTATAATGATTTAGACATTTCATTAGTGATAACGTCAATTGCTATTCGATTATGTGATGAACCGGCAAAAATCAACTGCCATCTGGTTTGAGATAATGACTTGAGAGCAGATTCGAATCGAACAATATTTTCGTTTTATTGATAGAATTTCCAACTATTTATACCCTGACAAATACATACAATTACAATTTCTTTTTTCATTTATGTCACTTTACAATTGATAGATTTTTTTTTATTGAATTTAGGATTCCTATCTGATTTGTCTTTGCGCTATTGATATTGAATAGGAGTTTCTTTCGTGAATTTATATGAACTTATGAAATTATCTTCTCTCTGTTAATCATCATTAGTTTAAGCTTGAAAATAGTAAGGTCATCTAGAACATTAGCTGCACCGTTTTCAATTCTAATTGTTGCTTCAACACAACGTTGCTGAGAGGGTTTAAGACCATACTTATTATTTCACCGAGTAGCATATTTATTAGAGCCAATCTTCGCGTCCTAAATATGCTGAAAAAAAATTCTGAAACTAACATCAAGCCATTTACGATTTGCTTCTAGTAGATTGTATCGTTTTCAATGACGATTGTCACTTTAACACAACTCAGCTTAGCTAAACTTAAAACCGATTTGAAGTCATCCGAGGCTATTGCCATATCTTTCGTATCGACTGAAAGAGCCGATAAGTTTTCAACATACTTCAGGGCTTTTTTGATACCAGCTAAAGTTATTTTTGGGCTAATACTCCTAATATTGTCCTGTTTCACACAGACCATTTCTTCCAAAGCCGGTAAATGTTTAACATATTCTAAGAGTGTTTCATCTGACATTTGTGTAATATACAGTTTTTTCAGTTGTTTCAACTCCGATATATTCAGACTGGATGTGGAGAAATGCGTATAATCATTCAAAATTCCCAAAACTTTTATTGGAACTTTATTTTCAATGAGCGAATCTATTAATCTACCCACTGGAATAATATCTCTTCGCGTGGAAATAGCCAAAGACTTGAGGTTCCGCAATTTGCTTATGTGCAGCAGGTGTTCATTTAAACTGGGTGATGAGTTATGCAAGTGCACGAACAGCTTTTCCAGGTTTGGTGTCAGATTGGCGATGTTTTCGTAAATGTGTGGTGTTATTTGATTACACAAACGTATGCAAAGGCTTTTCAGTTGTGGATTTAATTTCAAGAATTCAACGGCCTGATCAAATCGCAATTGATGGACGTAACGGAATGTGACAATTCTAAATTGCGGAAATGGTTGAATGATCCAGTCGACTTCTTTGATGTTTCCCGATATCACCAATCTCCCCAGTTGCGACGTACACTCAAAATTGTGAACGTTTGCATACAATATTTCTAGTTCGGATAACTCTTGAAATGGGGATCGGGTGTTGAAATTGATCGCATTGTATGAATAAATTTTAATTGTTCTCAACGTTCTTCCACAATAATCGGCGATCATATTTTGAATATCATCGTGAAGTTCATCACCATTGAAACAAATTCGCTGTACAATTCAGTTAGCACGAACTGAAATAACAATGAAATATTTGTTCAATATATAAATGAAAAATAATTGTGAATTTCTAAATTGAAAATATGTAATTTAAACGCACAAAAAAAGCCGAATAGTTTCGTTGTACTATGGAATTGCTTTGAACATTCACTTTCCGCTTTGAGATAGTTGAACAATCGTGACAATTCGTATCAAAACCACTGCAAATGTAACTTCGTTGAAATTCCCTTTTCCACACTCTGACTAAGGAGCAAAGGAAACTTGATGATGTCTCAAATACACAACGAGACTGTATCGTTCTAAACTTAAGATGCACGAATGAAGACTTGGCCTAAATTGTTCGATATATATAGTGATATCGGGTAAGGCATAGCCCAAACTGTTGTAGTCTTCTCTAGAGAAATGAGTGCACCAAATATCACAGATAACTCTTAATCTCCATTAATTCCAATTTTTATCTGTGTACCTGTAACCCTTTTGTAGGGGATGGCTTAAAACCATTCCAGCAGGTAATAATGTTTATTGGAACTAATAGAAGTAAATTGCTGTATTTACTTTTAATCGGCTGATTAACCATAATTCGAAAAAAAATTCAAATCTGTTGAACACAGTTCAGAAATTGTGTAACCATTTCCAAACATGCTCGTTGCCTTGATGTATTCTTCCAGATACTTACATAATTTTCATTTGGATTATTCGTTTAATGCTAACAAATGAACCTGTTAATAACAGTTGTGAGCAAAACGATGTCAAATTGAAGCAAACTATTTAGAATTGAAAGTGTCCGATTATTAGTATATCATCAGATGTCGTTTGAATTTAAATCTTTTTTTATTGTCATACAGATGAAGAATATGTTTAAAGTTCTGAGGAATTTTTTTAATATCCAACTAAAACACTAAGATATGTGCATCCGAATATATTTGTTACTCTAGTCTCATGAAAATTGACGATCTTTGACTCTAGTCACTGATAAAAATGTTGTATTTGTACCTTAAAGTATTCTTCACTTATATCCAAATTGCCTTTTTTACACAATCTTCTCATAAATTTAAATAACAATGTTGACTAGCAACGAACAGAATACGTATAAAAACTGTGATGTTTCGCATGACACATGACGGTAATGATAAAATGTATGGTTATGTTGCGATTAACATGGTTTGATGCATGCAATGCTAATGGCTCTAGCCAATTTTCGCTTCTAGCAGCTGGATCATCATTGTTGGCTCTGGCCGATCATTGATGGGAACGGTTGGATCATGTGAATTGTTTCGCTTAGTTTGAGCTATAAAGTCAAGCAGATAACACAGATAGATTAGTTGGTTTAATATTTTGAATTCAATGGCAAAACTCACTATGGCAAATGGGCCCGTTTCACTTGGTTCATGGTGACGCGGGTTCTACACACTGGGCATGTTTTACGGAGCTTGACGGTGTTTTTGATGCATTCCTCGCAGAAAAGATGACCGCACGGTGTGAATGAGACATCTTGACCCTGGAAACGTTGCAAGCAAATAGCGCATTCCAATTCAAATCGTTGGGTTGGTACGTTATTTGCATTTGTGTCAACACCACACAATGATTGATTTGGCTCTAGTACAACCTCAATCACAATCGCTTTTCCCTTGTTAAGCCCCTTTTGTCGATTGAACACATCAACCTGTGATGCAAATGATTTTATGGCCAAATTTTGATTGAACTTGAATTTTTTCGTCTTGGTTTGCTCGATTGACTTCCCTCCGATTCCAGCTAACAACTTGACCGACATTTTGACATCAGCTGTAAATTCGGGATGTTCGAGATTTCTGCATTCCAAACGAATACCGTATTCATTCTTATGGTCTTTGAACACAACCAAGAACCACGGTGCATTTTGGAATGTAATTTGTGGTGAACGAACTGCCAACAAGCTGTCGGCATTTGTGATGGTCAATTGGCACTTCATGGATCGCCGTTCAGCACCACTTGCACCAATATCCTCGAAAACCAATTGGCTTTTGTTCGCATCATTCGGATCGGCGACGATTATTTCGATTTTGACACTGATTGTGTCATTGCTCACGTATTGCTTTGCCACATCAAGTAAATCACTCCATTTCAGTAGCCAGCGATCCCATTCAGTTTCGTTGTGATTAAAAACAAACGGTGACGTGTACATTTTGCGTGCATTTTGCTTGCCACCGAACGAAAGCAATTCGATTGATGCGTACGCAATGTGTGACCAATCTGGGGAGTTGTGTGTGTTGGCGCAGATTAACGAAACGGCAAGCCAATTTTCACTGCTATAGCGGCTTTTGTAAATTCCAACTTTCCATGGTGTTCCTCGGACGACGAATTCGGGTGAAAAACATTTATCCAATGCACTAACCTTTGGTACATCAAACTGGAATTTGACGTACGATACAGTCGGCTCTTTGTTTGCATTTGCCATGGTGTTCCTGTTGCTGTTGCTGTTGATTTGATAAATATCGAATGAATTTCGTTGATCCGACTGATTTTTGGTACTATTCACACATTACATTTAATAAAATACTTACATTTATCCCGTTTAATCTATCCAAACGAATTAACAATGCACAAATCAGTTCGGTTCACCTGTGAGCTAACACAAGCTTGCGAACAAGTGGTTATGTTCTAGCGCCAAATTCATCTGTCATCCAATTTGACAGTTTGGAGTGTGAGTAGTGAAATGCTCTCTCCAAATTAATCGATTTAGATCAAAAGCAATCAAGGCAATTCTACAGGTTCCAAAAATATCGGATCATTATGCAAAATATCCCCCTTTCGTTAAAAACTATTCATTTATTACAACAGACATTGAAATGCGTCGTATGATCGAATGTGCAAATCTGCTCATCACTCAAATCGTCTACTCACAACGAACCTGTTTATGCTGCAAATTTGAAAATGCGTTAAGAATCAAATGGATTGAATGAACGCTTTATTTTAAATTACTTTCCAAAATGAATTTATTCATAGTTGTTTGTATAATTTAACGGGAATGCATGCATTTGGGGGAGAAGGTGGATTTTAACGCCATGCACATGCACATAACGTGTCAAGTAATGTGCGATATCGGTATTGAAAATCAATGAAAAGTTTGATTAAATAAATTTTGTAAGCCCTTAATAAATATAATGTTCAATCAATGAAGTTCGACGTTTCTTTTTTGTGTTTAATACAAATCAACAACTAATCATCTACAGTCCTATCGCAAAATATTTCGCTTTAAATTAAATACTGCAAATTATTGGGCATTTGCTTGTCTATTTGATGCTAAATCATTCGATGCATTCGGTTGATCGTAATGAGTTGTGGTCGAAGTGGCGCTGCTTTGTCTTGAATGTCCCGAACTCACTGATGTTTGTACCATTGGCTGTGGCGCAATTTTGGTTGTACCCTGAATCTGTGGATTTCCATCGTTCGACAGCTGCATATGATATCTGTATGGAATGAAAGGAATAACATTTAAAAGAAGGAAAAACAATGGTTTGTTGAAGTAATGTACTTGAAGTCATAAGCTGAAATGACTTCCATGAATGATAAAAAAATGATTTCTTACTTGTAAATATTCTCCGTACTCTCAACAACGCCCTGTGTCAAATTCAAACTGCGACCCTTAATGCCGCTTTCCTTAGCCGGTGGTGACCACCAGTTTACAACCGATCCAACAACTGGAACGTGTCTTAAAATTCCATCAGACCATAGTTTTTCATCGGATTCCCTCTGCAAATCAGCAGTTGCTGCCTCAATTCCCTGTAAATACATAGATATCAGCAAATTTTCTCTGTTGCATTGATGTAATTCCGAATCATAATCGAATTGCTACCTTCTTAACGATCTCAGACATTGTATCAAGAACTCTCGAATTCTCTTGCACGCTCCTACCGACGCTTATGACCAAATCAAGTAGCTCTTCGACATCTGTGTCATCAGTCACCATTCCGAATTTCACACAAATCAAACCATCCGACCCTTCACCCAAAGAAAAGGCATTGTCAGTAGCGCGCAGCGCATCGACTAAATCGGCATTCAATTTGTTTAGTTCGGTTTTGGCTTGATCAGTGAGCCAAGTTTCCCATCCTTCGGGAACAAAGCGAACGCCTCCCAAACCGGCCCAATCGTACAATGGAACCAAACGAAGAACCGTACTCTGTTCAACCAAACGATTCAGAGTTGCCTTATGCTTAACAGTTGCACGCAAAATATCGATTTGATTATCCAAAGAGTCTTCCAAGGCTTCAAGCTGTTCTATGGATGGTACGGTATCGGCTAAGCCCAATTCCAGTGGACAGAATCTGATGCAAGTGCCATGAATTGGATGCTCACGAATTTCAAGCGAAATTTCTGGACAATCACGTTGCAAATTCTGACCAAGCCATGAATTCAATTTATCGAAATATACGAAATTGGACACTTTCTCAATAGATTTATTTATCATCAGCTGTTGCGTCGGATCGACCGGTGCTTCTGAGCTTGGTGCAGCCGATGCATTGGTTGCAGCAGCATCTTGAACGGATGGTTGTGCATTTGATGCTTTTGATTCGGCATTTTCTGAAACGCTCGTTTGCTCAGGCATTATGCCACGCGAACTGCCGTCGAATTGAAACACGACCACTGGAACAGCATGCTCAAACAGCAACTATTGGGATAGAGAGAGCAATTGAAATAGTACACAAAGGTCGCTCTACTCGAAATTTGCACTGTCCAACTTACAGATATATTCAACGGCTTATAAATCAAGTCGGAAATTGGCAAATTCGTTCCGCCACCTGGAGCTTTACTCTGTTGAAAGAGAACATTCAAATTTAATTATTAATCCAATGACTGGTAAATCGCAATCAATATTTCGGATATATTTCAAACTGACCAATACACGCAATCCTTGGCATTTTGAAACGATTTCATAGACCATGCGACAGCAATCGAATGCGATCGAAATACGGCCGGCGATCGCATCACGACCGAATGACTGCAAACTTGTCCAAAGCGACAGAGATGTTAGGCGCCTCGAGAGTACTGGATCGGCATCAATGACATTTAGTGCAGCGTTTTCAATTTGACGATGCAACAACTGAAAGTGACGGTAAAAATTACATTTTTATGATGACAGAAGATATTGAATGTGAATGAAAAGTCAACAAAAAAGAAGAAGGCTCATTACCACAACTGGAAGATTGGGCAAAGCTAACCAACTTCCTAGATTCAATGACATTGAATCGGCAATTGGTTGAATATTTTGGCCATCGGTTTGCATTGTGCCTTGAGTAATAGCCAGCGAGGCTAAACTGTGCCCACGACAATGCAACCAAATCGAATGTGTTCGACAGACTTCTTGCAAGCGTTGAATATTGTCAATTTGGCCGCAAATCGAAGCACCAACATCTCCAATCACAAACAAAGGCGTACGATTCATAGCAATGTCGCTAGCCACCAATTTCTGCAATGCTGAAATATCCATCGTTCCAAAGGAGGCTACAGTTTAAAAAAAGAATTCATGATTACATGACGTTTCAATTCTATTGATGATAGTGTGAATCGAATATATTGAACGACCAATTTGATAGAAATTTTCTGTTTGAGGTTTTTGGTTCTTTTGATACGAAAAACTTACTGAAAGAAGTGTTAGCCGGAACCAGACGAATACAATTGACGGGAAGGCCCAATTGACGACAAGCGTACTGCAAGGCAATTTGTGAACTATTTTCACAGATGTAAAGACATGGATTAGCGAGTGCTGGTACACCACCCTCAAGATAGCCTGGGCATCGGCTTACAATCGCCAGCCTATGGTTGAAAAGAAATAAAACACATAGTTTAGAAACACAAAAATCAACCGGTTAAAAACAACTACACTTCAATTCAAACAATGCTTTGTACCTAACAGCTCGTAAAATTGCTTCAGTACTGTCAGTGTGATAGCTAGCGTTTGCATCGATAAAGCGAAACAAATGTGCTAGCCACCGATTTGTGTCTCCAGATATTTTTGCTGTGATTTTAGTGAGTTTGCGATAGTCCAAGTGGCTTAAATAAGCGATGATACTGTGTGAAATGAGTGCCAAATGTGAAACTTCATTGAGTGCCGGCAACAAATACTCTGATTCGGCCAAATCACCGTCATCATTATCATCCGAATCGGTCGAGTTGGCGATGATGATACTTTCCAGAAAGGATAGAACATCGGTGGGTGCATAGCGATCATTTGCTAGTAACCCAGTCGTTGATGAGGTGCTTGCTTGTAAAACAGGCTGAACTTCGGGATTTGAGCTGATTTTAATCGTTTCCAATCGCTGTAACGCCTGTGATGCTTGTAATTCCAGTTCGGCCAACGAAGAACGTACCTAACAAAAAGTGAAAATAATTCCGATAAGTCAAATATTTGGATAAACAGCGTTTCATGTACACAAATGTTTTGGCACAATTGAACAATTGAAGATAACAACACAAACGGCCGAACAAACGAAGCGATAAGAAATGATATCGTGTAATGTGCATTAAAAATAGAGCAGCCGTTGAGTAAAGACCACGTAGTACGGGTAAACATTACGCAGAAAATGAAGAACGAAGAACAAAAAAAAGTGAACAATTCATTTGAATACATTAACGTAGGCTGTGTGTAAATGTGTGCACTAGTTCTAGATATACACATATATTGAATTATTTTGTGTACTTTTGCTGCTGGAATTTCCTTTGGCCTATCGCCACCCGATTGATTTTGCATGGGATGTTGTGAATGTTGCGGTTGTTGATAAATTTGTTCCGAATTTGGTATTTCCTGTTGATGCGATTGCTCTGGATTGTCCACACTCTGATTTCCGACTGTATTTGATGCTTCGTAGCCCCCTTCCATTGTGTTTGCAAATTTGTATGGTATAAAACGAAAATAATAAATATCACGACGTAATTTCGATTTATCAATATGCACTGGAAAATACACAAACTAAATTCACTGGTTTCGAATTTATATTTCCACTCGATTACACTCGATTCAATGATTTTTATTGTGATACACGTCTTACACATCAAATACTAAACAAATCTGCTCATTTCATGCTTGACATTTGCAAATTACTTGAGCAAACGGTGAGCTGGCACGTAAACCGTCAAACGAAAACGTAAACAATTCACATACGTCGGCAAACGCAACGCGCTGCCATGCGTTGGTCTGCGTTGGAATTTAACGCATGAGATAAACGGAATTGAAGGCGGCAAACGGAATGTGGATAAAATGCTGTCAAAGTGGCGATCAGCTGATTTGACATCACATGTAAACAAATCATTCAACGCAATTATTTCCGTATGCCGTTCACATACTTCCCCGAAAACACACAGACACACACCGCATTCACCGACACTTGTTGTTGCTTTCCTTCGTATCAATTACTTTTTTTTCGACTTTTCGTGCTCGCAGCGATGTACACGCACTTTTGTTGATGTCTGTTACGGTGCATTTACTTCGAAAACAAATGCTGCTTTTGATTACGTTTAAACTTATTTTTACATGAGAACGTGTTTGTTCGAGAATATTTGTTTTAATATATGAAAAAAAAAAAATTCGTCGAAAAAATCGTCGAGAAGCAAAATTCTTCGAAATGAACAATTTTTGGAGCAAAAATAAATTGTTTGAGGTAAAAACATCCACGTCTAACAATCTGGAAAAATTATAGCCTCGAATTATTTGCATGCTCTTATTCATTCATTGGAAATTTATGACTGTCTCTTCATTTCCATGTACTCCATGTACCATTTCCATTATGGTAATTTGCTACTTTTCCATTTTTACGTTGAGTATTTTCAAGAACTGTTTTTTTTTTTTGGCTCTGACAAGAGAAAAAAAATTGCACATGGTCTGGCGAATGAATCATTTGAAAAGCCAATCCAATTGAAACTTGAATTTATATAATGTTGTGATTCACAACAAAGCTACCATTGAGTTGTGTACCTTTCCATAGAAGTCTAGCGCTTTGATAATAAAATGTTGGAAATTTGATCTTTTGTTGATTTCCCAGAAATATGCTTGTAAACACATTCCTTTCATTCACTGCATTTGTTGAGGGTCCATTATGTTTTGAGTCTGCAGGTAACATTCGTATAAATTTACAATTCGAAAAAATAGCTTCACTAGCCCCGCTACATGGAAATCCTAATCACGTGCAGTGAACCGAAACAGGTTCAATAACGTTTACACAGAAATAAAATGAGAAGAAAAAAAATATCTTCGAAGTCAATCTTAATCGGTCATAGACATGGTACGAGATCTCCTTTTTATTCTTATGTTTTCTTAAATTCAATTCTGTTTTATATGACTCATTAAGAAATTATTCATTGAAAATGGAACCGTTTGAGTAAATTTAGAGTGAACCATATTAGAAATGTCGATGAAAATATCGATGATTTCTTATGAATTTGAGAATATTATTCATTGCTCCATAATTGAAACAAATGCGGAATTTGTACCAATTTAATGTAGTTGTCTGAGTAATATACAGTGAAAAATGACTTCTTTCAAATCGTCAATAGCACTTTGCATGTTTGTCGTTTAGATTGCGTGCATATCACAATTCATAAGCGATTAATTACGTTGGTTCATTAAAATTGAATCATTTTCAAAGTGATTTCATGTATTTTAAATGACATGAAACCGTTCTTATTTAGACAGGACCTGATAGTCAATGGAATGAAGAAAAAAAAGTAGAATCACATTTTCCAAAGAAATTGGATAGTCAATGGAAAGAAAGTGACTTGGATAAAGATTCACATGAAGCTACTTTACTTCTTTATCAAGTGCACGGAAAATGCGTCAAAGAAAATTGATTAAATATTCTATTTCCAAAGAAATGATAAAAAAAATTAATTCAATTCACAAGTATTCGTGTTCAACCGTTAAAAAAGTTTCCCAGTTAATGGGACACATGAAATCTAGTAAACTCCGGCATGAAACGACAGGTTAACTATAAACATTATCTGTCTTCCATTTCGTCTCTCCATTCTTCTCCTCATCGTCTCTTTTCTCCGTGATACGTGCGCGGAAAAGTAAAACTCATCATAGTTTCAGCTAAACGATTGTCTTTATCGTGCCATTGATTTACAACCGAATCCATTGACGCCGACCAAAAAAAAAACGTTTTGAATTACATTTTCCATTGTGTTCGAACGAACCGTTTTGATTAAAAAAAGAAGAAAAACAACATCACATAATACAAACACCAACAAATAGAAAAACAAAACAATAAATTTCCCTTTTTCATGTGTTGAGAATCACTTTCTTCGAATTCCTCAAATAAATCGATGGTTTTATTGATAACAGAATAACAATAAGATACTTGAACTGGTAAATATTTTATTTTTTCCAAAAGTTTAAGTGCTTCGGGGGGTTGAGAGCATTTTTCTAATTCTGAACATGAGAAGGTCATAATAATATGGTGGCGTCGGTATTATTGAAAATCATCGAACGACGGTCAAAAATGCGTTGGAATTTCAATGATCTTATTTGGATCGAAAATAACAATTTAATAATTTGTTTGGCTGAAAATCTTTTTTGATGCAGTAAAAATTAAAAGAATAGACTAGTAGGAGTTGAACAGAGTAGAAGTATCTGTACTCGAAAACAAAAACAAGCGACAGATATGTACGGGAAAAAAAAGAAAGAAGACCATGAATGTAATCTGCAAATCTCAAAAATCGCATTAATCTCATCCTCGGGTGGGTATTCTGTTCGAAAAACCACTTGAAATGAATATAAATTAATCTCATTATAATTGCTCTCATGAATATTCAATTGTTCTTTGGAATATTTGCGCTCTTTCGTTTTTATTGGTCAAGAGCAGAAAAAGTCTCCACTTGAGTTGAGACACAAATAAGACGATCAATTGGCTGGCAAAAAGGCATTCTTGTTCATTCTTTCTGAATCAAAGAGAACAGTGAACTAGATCTTAAAATACTTAGAATCTTACGCCTGTTCCATTTAAAAGTGATTGTAGTAAAAATCTGGTAAACTATTGAGAAAGATGTGTAGAAATGAAATGCGATTTCCATTTATGCAAAGAACGAAATGAAACATATATACACACACACACACACACTGGTGAACGGTGGTGCTGCACACGAATGTGATGCAAAAAGGACGAATATATGGAGAAAAGGTCACGGGATAGAGAGAAGATAGAAAAACGGAGAAAAAATATGGGAACAAAATATGTGTCATAGGAGTCCGTAAAATGCGCATCACATGTAATGCCAGGCACAAGCATACGTACATCAGTACCGCATCTATGATTTTTTTTAGGCAACCGTAGTAAAGCTTGATAGACATATAGAAATACGAAGGAGAAACCGAAAGCAAAAAAAAACGATGATTTTGTGTGTGTGTGTATGTGTGTGTTGTGAAAAGGATAATAAGCAGTTTACAAGCGAAACATCATCAAATCGAACAAAAGCATTTTCAAGTACTCTCATTGTGTTTGCTTGCTCATTGTTAACTATATTTTCGTTGTTTTCGAAAAGAATTGTAAAAAAAAAATCTTCTCACTTTGGTCGGTTACTACCAACGACGTCAAGACTGGTGTGCGTGCATTTGTTTTGTCCTCCTCCTCCTCCTCTCTTTCCTTTTTTTCTTCCATGTTGACGATGATAATATTTATTAATATCTTTCCCCGAATCGGAATGGTGGCGGTTTGATTTTGTTTCTTCTTCGTTCCATTCTACAATCGGTACGTTTTATTTTAGGCACTCTCTCACGGTTTATGTATTCATTGAATGGCAGCGTAGGCAAGGTGCCGGATTCAAACAAAAGGTATTCCTTTTAATTCGACATTTGAATGTGACACAGAATGAGGGAAAAATGGCTGACAAACAATACAAAGAAAATCACATCAAACAATGAAAAATCATATTCGGTGTGTTGTTATTTCGATATCTCTCGATAAATAAAAAGAAGGGAATAGAAAGACCGGCATAGGATTGTATGGAATTTATGTGATTCATAACCACGAAGAAAGAAAACCACCTTTCAGTCTTGGAATGGGGAACAATCGAAAATTAATATTTTTGTCATGCACTTCAGAAGAGTCGGCTTTTGTTTTATTCGAATGACGACGACGACGACGCCACATTCACCTCGATAGGCTTATGCAGAAGAATCTCTGGTCCGGTATATTATCTCTCGTTGTATGTCATTGTCAACCACCGATTTAATTGAATTCACAGAGAGCGCATAGGATTCGTTTAAAAACAAGCACCCTCCATGACAATAGGATCCACTTGAGATTCTTTTTGTCTTTCTCTCTCTCTCTCTCTCTCTCTCTCTCTCTCTCTCTCTCTCTCTCCCTAGTCCTCTGTCTTTTCTGTTATCCTTCTCCAGCTCAAATATTTTCTCCGTTTTTTTCCGACGTCTGTGTTATTCAATACAATTCATATTCTTTTCCGACTTCGCATGGCTTTGTTTATATCGTCATGCTTAAATACGATTGAGAAGAAGAAGAAGAAGAAGAAGAGAGCGAGAGAGGAAAAAAACATGTGATGAGGATGAGTGTTAAACGAAATCGTTTAGCTAAAAAAACGGTACCTGGCCCATCAACTCTCAGTATTTCTCTCACACACACACTCTCTTGCTCAATTTGGTGCGCATTTTTGTTTCGTTTTTAAGCAATTGTTTTTTTCGGGCTTCTTTGCACATCTCTTGCTGTTCATTCGCCGTAATGCACTCAAGAATGGAATGAATCCCAAGCAAATCTCCGCTCTCTGCTGTTGTTATACTTTCACAAACTCACAGAGACGCAGACACAAGCCAGTGATGGCTTTTTAAATCTCAGTCCTTTGGAAAAAATAATGTGTGTGCAACATGGACCATTTTCAGGCGTTTTGGCACAAAAACACACGTTTCTCTCTCTCTCCCTCTCCCACTCGGCTCTCCGACCGATTAACTGGAATTTTATTGTTTGTCACATCGATTTTTCTTCATGCCATTGTTCTTGATACAATTCACTAGCACAAATGCTGACTCTCGTACTGGCTCACACTCATTCCGCTCTGTCTCTCTCTCTCTCTCTCTTATCCCATTTTCGTATTTGCTGCGTTTTCGGTATAGCCTCTTGAACTTTGTTTCATTTGTAAATTCTAATAAACTGTCAATTGT